AGGATCTTTCCCCTCTCCCCTGGAGGATCCCCACATCCCAAAGGATCCATTCCCATTCCCAAGAGCTCTCCCCTCTCCCCTGCAGGATCCCCTGCTGCAGCCCCCGGGGTGTCCTTGCCCTCCCCTCTCCAGCTCCATCCCCAACCCCGTTCCCAGCGCTCTGCAAACCCTCGGCCGAGGCTTTCCTTGGCTGCAGTCCCTGGAATTCTGCCAGGAATGTGCTTGGGGCATGCAAATGTTGCTCAGCAGTTCCATTATCCACAGGCAGCCTCCTCCCTCCCTCTTGTGTTTTCTCGGGAGTTTTTTTATCCTTTAAAGAAATGATTTGGCCCCGAGCAGGGCAGCGTTGTGTCAGCACCAGCCCCGGGATAATCCTGATGGATCACGGGGGATTTAAAGGACATTTTCCCTTCCCACTTGGGCACAAACAGGAATTCTGCTTCCTCAGGGCTGGTGGAACCCCCTGCTCTGGAGTCAGGTGTGGGATTTTCCCAGTCCCCATTCATCAAGGGGATGTTTATCCCCTGGGAATGATTGATGCCCTCACACTCCCCAAGGATTTCCTTATCAAACAGCTCAGCCCCTTTTTTGTTTGTCCTGCTGCTTTGTGCTTGGAAAAGAAAGGGAAGAGGGGCTGGAAGTGTGATTTATGTCCATAAAACCCCCTTGGGGTGGGAGGGGAGGAGGGAGGGCAGGGCTGAGGCAGCCACGGGGTTTCTCCCGGCAGAGCTGGGATGGATTTGGGGCTGCGGCCTCACCCCTGCTCCAGCCAGGCTCATCCCAGAAGTTTTTTTGCAGGATCCCACCTGCACTTTGCTGTTTGGCAGCCAAATTTGGGGTGCAGCTGGATTAGGGAGCAGGGGATGCTCAGTAGGATTTTCCAGCAGGAAATCCCAAATCCAGCCTGGCTGTGGGGCCGAGGTGTCCTGGGACAAACCATCCCCCTGGAGAGGAGCGTTCCCACCCCAGTGGTGGGATCAGGGCCTGCAGAGCTGGGCTGGGCTCCATTCCCAGCTCCATTTCCCCATTTAATTCCTGTTTGGGGCTTTTTGGGTGATTTTTTTTTCATTAGAACCTAAACTGGGAATAAGGCAGGGACTGGGGCTAATTTTCCATCTGGGAAAAGCAGCAGGAGGGAGGGAAGGAGTGTGGGGACAGCTGGGACCAAGGCCAGTCCCTCCCCACCCTCCGAGGGGGAACACCCACAGTGAAAATTCCCAGGACCAATCCCTGTATTTATGGTCCTAAAAAAACCCCAAATCTGCCCCTGATTGGGATTCCAGGACTGTGGAAAGGAGAAGCAGAAATAAGCAGGATGAGGCTTCCAAAACTGTGGATGGTGCTGAAATTGTGGGGTTTGGGGGTGATAAGGGAAGAATTTCACTTAGAAATTCCAACTTTTGGGGAATAATCATCTGGAAATGGGATCAGGAGTGCTCAGGGATGATTTTTGCCTGTCCGGAGGAGGGATGGGGCAGGATTGGGTGCTGAGCACCTAAAAATAGAGATAGACGACAATTTTGGAGTGATTCCTCACTCAAACCTCACTCCAGGGGGTTGTGTCTCAGTTTTTTGTGCTGCTGGGACACTCGGGGTCACTCACAGCAGAAACAGGCATGGAAAGAACCCCAAAGCTGGGATAAAAACCCCAAACCCAGGATAAAACCACCAACCCTGGGACAAAAACCCCCAAACCCAAGATAAAACCACCAACCCCCTGATAAAAAACCCTAAAACCAGGATAAAACCCCCAAACCCATTATAAAAACCCCAAACCAGGGACAAAACCCCCAAACCCAGGGTAAAACCCCCAAAACTGGGATAAAACCCCCAAACCTGGGATAAAACCCCCAAACCCAAGATAAAACCCCAAACCCAAGATAAAAAACCTCAATCCTGGGATAAAACCCCCAAGCACAGGATAAAAACCCTAAAGGCAGGATAAAAGCCCCAAACCCATGATAAAAAACCACCAAACCTGCGACAAAAACCCCAAACCCATGACAAAACCCCCCCAACTCCAGTATAAAACACCCAAACCCAGGATAAAAACCCCAAACCCCACATAAAACCCCCAAACTTGGGATAAAACCCCCAAACGTGGGATAAAACCCCCGAACCCAGGACAAAAACCCCAAATCCAGGACAAAAGCCCCAAAGGCAGGACAAAAACCCCAAAGGCAGGACAAAAACCCTCGGGAGCCGCTCCTTCTTGGCACAGGTCCTGCAGTTTTATTCCAGAGGATCCCAGAGCAGAGGGAACGGGACCAAAACCAGGGATAAAACCAGAACTGGGGGGTTTGGGGAGAGCTCTTGGGATCGGGAGCACCACGAGGAGATTTGGGCTTGGAAACCCCGAGCAGGAAAAAACAATCAGCTGTGACAGCGACATTCCCCAAAGAAACTCCCAAGAAATTCAGTTCAGAGCTCAGCTTCAGTTCAGAGCTCAGCTTCAGTTCAGAGCTCAGTTTCGGTTTTGATCTAATTTTTAGTTTAGGTCTCATTTTGAATTTAGATTTCATTTTCTGTTTAGATTTCATTTTAGTTCAGATCTCAATTTCATTTTAGATCTCAAGTTCAGTTTAGATCTCATTTGCAATTTAGATCTCAATTTCAGTTTAGATTTTATTTTCAGCTTAGATTTTTTTCAGTTTAGATTTAATTTTTATTTTAGATCACATTTCCCACTTAGTTCTCATTTTCAGTTTAGTTCTAATTTTCAGTTCAGATCTCATTTCTAATTTAGATTTAATTTGCAGTTTAGATTTATTTACCATTTCCAGTTTAGATCTCAATTTCAGTTTAGATCTCAATTTCAGTTTAGATTTTATTTTCAGTTTAGATCTAATTTTTTTTTTTTCGGATCTCATTTCCAGTTTAGATCTCATTTCCAGTTCAGATCTCATATCTAGTTTAGATTTAATTTCTAGTTTCGATTTCATTTCCAGTTTAGATCTCAATTTCAGTTTAGATTTTATTTTCAGTTTAGATCTAATTTTTTTTTTTTCGGATCTCATTTCCAGTTTAGATCTCATTTCCAGTTCAGATCTCATATCTAGTTTAGATTTAATTTCTAGTTTCGATTTCATTTCCAGTTTAGATTTATATTCCAGTTTAGATTTACTTCCAACTGAGATCTCAATTCCAGCTGAGCTCTCATTTCCAGCTCAGATCTCATTTCCAGCTCAAATCTCCTTTCCAGTTTAGATCTCCTTCCCAGTTTAGATTTAATTTCCATTTCCAGTTTAGATCTCATTTCCAGCTCAGATCTCATTCCCAGTTTAATCCCCTTTTCCCAGCCCAGTCCTTCCCAGTGGAACATTCCCAGCCCGTGCAGTGTGGGATGCTCCGAGCTGGTTTTAGCTTAAGCTCAGTGTCTGAGCTGGTTTTAGTTTAAGCTCAGTGTCCATGCCTGTCTGAGCTGGTCTTAATTTAAACTCGGTGTCCAAACTGGTTTTAGTTTAAGCTCAGTGTCCGAGCTGGTTTTAGCTCAAACTCGGTGTCCATGCCCGGATTCCAGCAGCGCCCCGAGGCTCTGGGAGTGAAACCTGTGGGATTTGGGCAGGAGGTGCCCTCGGGGGGTCATAAAGGGATTTTTTTGGAGGTCAATAAAGGGATTTTTGTTGTTGCCAGTGGATAAGAGCAGGGATGGGAACATTTTGCAACAGCGAGAGGAGATGTCCTTCCCTCTGGAATCCGGGATCCTCGGGGGGTGTCGGAGAAGAATGGAGCAGGAGATAGGAAAAGTTACTTTTCTAAAAAGTTACTTTTCTAAAAAGTTACTTTCCTGAAAGAGACAATCCCAAAGGCACGGCTCGGCCTCCAAGGCACAGAGGTTCTGATAGCGAGAGAAAAATTCCCAACTCCTGAGCTTGGCTGTCCCCCCTCCCTGCCCTCCCTTCCCTGCAATTCTGCCCTGGAATTTTTGCCTCCTCTGCCTGGCAGCTCAGAGGATTCACCAGACAAAAGAGAAATCCCAAAAAATCCTGTGGAAACAGGGAAAATCCTGTGGAAAAGGGGAAAATCCAGTGGAAAAGGGGAAAATCCTGTGGAATTTCTTCAGTTCCTTCTGGTTCTTTGTTAGCTGCTTTTCCCTGCTCCAGGAGGGAAGTTCATGGGAATTTTCATTTTCACGGGAAGAGCAGGAATCACAGGAACATTCCTGGAGCTTCCCAGGGAAGAAACCTCAGTGGAATTTAATCCCAGGAGATTAAATCTGCTCCAGCAGAGCTTTGCTGAGTTACTCCAGCTGAGAAAATGCATTTCCAGCTGAGAAAAATCCATAAAAATTCATTTAAGGAAGTGTTCAGGAAATATTTAAGGAAATATTCCATCTAAAAAAGGAAATAATGAAGGAAATCTCCTTTATTCTCACACTTTTCTCATGGAATTGGAAACTCAAGGTGTAATTAGTTTTTAAAAACTGAAAATTTTGCTATTCTGTAAGTGCAAGTGGGAAATTTTCCCTTAAAAATGACTTGTCAGGATCATCCTGTTGCTGCTCTGCTGCCCCAGGGCTGGGAATTGTGCTGATCCATGGAATCCTGGGGTGGCCCAGGTTGGAAAAACACAAGTGCCAGCCCCGAATTCCGCCTGCCGTGGGGATTTGCTGCTCTGCCAGCCCGGGAACGCCGGCAGGGCCAACACCCGGATATGCAAAGCTCGTCTGTCACTGCCCCATTGTCCCTCCCGGGGTGGCACCCGGCCACCTCCGGCTGGGGACGGGACCGGGGCACCTCCAGGGATGGGGAGCCACGGATTCCCTGGCAATTCCCAGAGCGTTGCAATAAAAAACTGAATAAACTGATATTTAAATTTTGGGTTGGTTTCTCTTTGGTTATTTCAGTGTTAGTGGCCACAGGGATTTGTGCTGCCACTAAAAATCCCGCACCAATCTGCTCTAGGAAGAGCAACACAGAGTTAAACCACACCAAACTTAAGTGAAAAATTCTATTTTCCACCTAAAAATGCAGTTTCTACCCGGAGGGGCTCTAAGCCACATCCAAGCCAGCTTCTGGGCACAGCCACGGATTCCCTGGCAATCCCCAGAACGTTGCAATAAAAAAATGAATAAAGTGATATTTAAATTTTGGGTTGGTTTCTCTTTGGTTATTTCAGTGTTAGTGGCCACAGGGATTTGTGCTGCCACTGAAATCCCACCCCAATCTGCTCTAGGAAGAGCGACACAGAGTTAAACCACACCAAACTTAAGGAAAAAAAGATATTTTCCACCTAAAAATGCAGTTTCTACCCGGAGGGGCTCTAAGCCACATCCAAGCCAGCTTTGGGAACTTCCAGGGATGGGGCAGCCACGATTCCCTGGCAATTCCCAGAGCATTGCAATCAAACACTGAATTAATCGTTATTAAAAATTTGGACTGTTTCTTTGGTTATTTCAGTGTTAATGAGGAGCGAACTTTGAGCTGCCACTACTGCCAATGCCTCTGCTCCGAACTGAAGGAAAAAATGGATATTTTCCTCCCAAGAAACCAGGAGGGACTCCAGGAATTCCCCAGGGCAGGTGAGGCCAGGTGGGACATCCATGGATTCCCTGGCAATCCAGAGCATTGCAATCAAACACTGAATTAATTGTTATTTAAAATTTGGGCTGGTTTTGGTTATTTCAGTGTTAGTGGCCACAGGGATTTGTGCTGCCACTGAAATCCCACCCCAATCTGCTCTAGGAAGTGCAACACAGAGTTAAACCAAACTTTGGGAAAGACCAATATTTTCCTCCAAAAAAAGCAGTTTCTACCAAGAGGGGCTCCAGGAACTCCCCAGGGCAGGTAAGGCCAGGTGCCCTCAGCTCCAGCCTGGATTTGGGCACTTCCAGGGATGATCTGCCCTGGGAATTCCCAGAGCACTGCAATGAAAGTTTTGGGCTCTTTTCAGTTATTTCAGTGTTAGTGATGAGACAATTTCACGCCGCCACTATGAAACGCTGCTTTGCAATCCCTCCCCTCTGGATTTATGGAAAAACCACCTAAAATCATTCCTCCCTTCTGGATTTAAGGAAAAACCAGAACTTTTCCACCTAAAAAAGCCATTTCTACCAGAAGTGGCTCCAGGAATAGATGTAGTAGAGGCAGAGCAGGTAGGGCCAGGTGCCCCCAGCTCCAGCCTGGATTTGGGCACTTCCAGGGATGGGGCAGCCACGGATTCCCTGGCAATTCCCAGAGCACTGCAATTAAAGATTTGAGCTCTTTTTCAGTTATTTCAGTGTTAGTGATGAGATAATTTCATGCCGCCACTACGAAACGCTGCCACTGGATTTAAGGAAACGCCTCCCTTCTGGATTTATGAAAAACCACCTAAAAAAAGCCATTTCTACCAGGAGGGGCTCCAGGAATAGATGTAGTAGAGGCAGGGCAGGTAGGGCCAGGCGCCCCGGAGCGCCAGCAGCGACATTCCCGGGAATTCTGGCGCTTCCTGGCGCGAGTCCAAGCGGCTCATCCCGGCCACAACCTGTTTCCTCTTGGTCTTGTACCTCCTGTTCTGGAACCAGATCTTCACCTGGGTCTCGGTGAGCTGCAGGTGCCGCGCCAGGTGAGCTCTCTCGGGGGCCGACAGGTATTTCTGGTGGCTGAATTTCCGCTCCAGTTCGATCACCTGGCTGTGGGAAAAGGCGGCTCGGGAGCGTTTGCCCTGCCTGGGAGGCCGCGGGGCCATGGGGTGCACGGCGCGGCCGCAGTCGGGCAGCAACGGCTCCACCGGCGCCTCTGGGAAGGGAAAATCGGGAAAAACCGCTTGGAAAAGTCCCCACGTGGACAAAAAACCCCACTTGGACAAAAATGCCCACTTGGATAAAAACTCCCACTCAGAAAATGTTCCCTCTTGGATAAAAAATTCTCACTTGAATAAAAATCCCCACTTGGACAAAAATTCCCACTTGGACAAAAATCCCCACTCAGACAGAAATCCCCATTTGGAGAGAAATCCCCATTTGGACAGAAATTCCCATTTGGACAAAAATCCTCACTCAGAAAATGTTCCCTCTTGGATAAAAATTCCCACTTGGACTGAAAGTCCCACTCGGACAAAAGTTCCCACTCAGAAAATGTTCCCATTTGGATAAAAATTCCCACGTGGACAAAAATCCCCACTTGGATAAAAATTTCCACTGGGACAAAAATCCCCACTCGGACAGAAATTCCCACTCGGACAGAAATCCTCACTCGGACAGAAATCCTCACTTGGACAAAAATTCCCACTTGGACAAAAATTTCCACTCGGACAAAAATTCCCACTCAGAAAATGTTTCCTCTTGGATGAAAATTTCCACTCAAACAAAAATCCCCACTGGGATAAAAATTCCCACTTGGAAAAAAAAATCCCGCCAAAATCACTTGATTTTCCTCCTCAGAGAGAGGAAAAAAATTCCAATTTTCTATTCCTGTTTCCCATATTTCCTATGTTTTAATTGAATCGTGTGAGAGTCACACGGGGGAATTTTGTCTTCCTAAATCACAGGTTTTATTTCACATCCTCCTGAATTCCATGGGAACGGAGATCCAAGGGTTGGATGGAAATGGGATAGGGATAAAATAAGATAGAATAAAATTCCCAAAAAGGGAAATTTCTAGTGCTGGAATAGGAACAGGGATAGGAATAGTAAATAGGAATAAGAGTAGGAGTAGGAATAGGAATAGGAATAGGAATAGGAATAGGAATAGGAATAGGAATAGGAATAGGAATAGGAAAAGGAATAGGAATAGGAATAGGAATAATATCCCCAAATAAAATAGGATGGGACAGAATGGAATAACATCCCCAGATAAAATAGGACAGGATAGGATAGGATGGGATAGGATAGGATAGGATAAAATCCCCAAACTGGGATATTTTCCAGTGCTGGAATAGGGATAGGGATAGGGATAGGGATAGGGATAGGGATAGGGAATAGGGAATAGGGAATAGGGAATAGGAATAGTAAATAGGAATAGGGATTGGAATAAGAATAGGAAAAGGAATAGGAATAGGAATAGAAATAATATCCCCAAATAAAATAGGATAAAATGGAATAATCCTCAAATAAAATAGGATAGGGTGGAATAAAATCCTCAAATAAAATAGGATAGGACAGAATGGAATAACATACCCAGATAAAATAGGATGGGATGGGATAGGATAGGATGGGATAAGATAGGATAGGATAGGATGGGATAGGAGAGGACAGGATAAAATCCCCAAACTGAGATATTTTCCAGTGCTGGTGGAGGTCTCACTAAATCCCAGGGTTCTGTTGTTATGTCCAAAATGGCATCAAAGAATTTTTATTTTTTTTTTTTTCAGGATTCATATCAAACCCTGCTTTGGAATATCCTGTGCCTGTGGGAAAACCAGAATTCCCTGGGGAAATGAATCCTCCAGCTCCCCACTCCTCAGGAATGGCTCTGCAGTGGGAAACGGGAGCGGCTCAGGGCAGACTGCAGCGGGAGAGATTCGGGAACAAATTCCTGCCTTTCCCATCCCATCACTCCAGGGAAATGCCAAGAGATTTTAGGGCAGTTTTAACCCTTTACATCCCAAGCTTCAGACCTGGCCTTGGATCTCCAGCTAATTCCCAATGGATCACCAGAGTCAGGAGCCAGGAAGGTGCTGAGCTCCCGGGAAGTCTCACCCACAACAGCCAAAACCCCTCAGTTACATTTATTTCTGGAGTCAATCCCTTTTTGAGCATTATCTGCATGAAAATCAGCCAATTTTTTTTTTGGCTTTTGGTCATTTTTCCGTTTATTTTCTTAAGGTGTGAACACAAGCTCAAGAAAAAAACCAAGGGAATAAATTCCCAACTTTGTGAGTCCTGGTTGTCCCTGGAATCCCAGGACTTTTATGTAGGAATTTCCGTTAATAGAATTGGGCTGGAAAGCCAAAATTCCCCTGGCAGGAGGCACTGGAGAATTCCAAAGGGATCTGGGGATGTTTGAGCAGGGAAAGGCTGAGTCCCATCTCCAAAAATCTTATCCCAAAATCCTGTGTCCCACTGGGATTTTGGGATGCTGCTTCTCCCTCTCCGGGCAGCCCTTCCCAAGGTGCCTTTTCTGGGATCTGCATTAAAGGGAATTTTTTTCCCAAAGTTTTGGTAAGGTGTGAACACAAGCTCAAGAAAAAAACCAAGGGAATAAATTCCCAACTTTGTGAGTCCTGGTTGTCCCTGGAATCCCAGGGCTTTTATGTAGGAATTTCCGTTAATAGAATTGGGCTGGAAAGCCAAAATTCCCCTGGCAGGAGGCACTGGAGAATTCCAAAGGGATCTGGGGATGTTTGAGCAGGGAAAGGCTGAGTCCCATCTCCAAAAATCTTATCCCAAAATCCTGTGTCCCACTGGGATTTTGGGATGCTGCTTCTCCCTCTCCGGGCAGCCCTTCCCAAGGTGCCTTTTCTGGGATCTGCATTAAAGGGATTTTTTTTTTCCCCAAGGTTTTTTAAAAATGCATCAAATTGGGTTTTTAATCAACGTTTTAGACAGATTCAGAGCTTGGAGCCCTTTGGGGCACTGGGGAAAGGTTTTCTCCAGTCTCTGAATTCCTTACTCTCCCCTGCTCCAGCTCGGACACTCCTGGAGTTTAATCCGAGAGTGGCTCCGGGTCTGGATTCTGATCCATTCCCTGATCCATTTGTGATCCATTCCTGATCAATCTGTGATCAGTTCCTGACCCATTCTTGATCAATCTCTGATCCATCCCTGATCCATCACTGGTCCATTCCTGATGCCGAGAGTGGCTCCGGGTCTGGATCCTGATCCATTCCCTGACCCAAGCTCAGACACTCCTGATCCATCCCTGATCCACTCCTGATCAATCTCTGATCCATTCCTGATCGATCACTGGTCCACTCCTGATCCATTCCCTGACCCAAGCTCAGACATTCCCGATCCTTTCCCTGATGCAAACACAGACTTTCCTGATCCCTTCCCAATCCATTGCTGATCCATTTCTTATCCCAGACTGAGACATCCCTGATCCATTCCCTCCCTTTCCCAAGCACAGCCATTCCTGATCCATCCCTGATTCCATCCATCACTGATCCACTCCTGATCAATCCCTGATCCGTTTGTGATCCATTACTGATCAATCTGTGATCCGTTCCTGATCCATCCCTGATCCATCCCTGATCCATTCCCTGTCACAAGCACTGCCATTCCTGATCCATCCCCGATCAATTCCCGGTCCATCCCCGACCGAAGCACAGACTGTCTCCGCTCCATCCCCGCTCCATCCCCACTCCATCCCGGATCCATCCCGGCTCCATCCCCGCTCCATCCCGGATCCATCCCGGCTCCATCCCCGCTCCATCCCGGATCCATCCCCGCTCCATCCCAGATCCATCCCCGCTCCATCCCGGATCCATCCCCTCTCCATCCCGGCTCCATCCCCGCTCCATCCCCATCCCAGCTCCATCCCAGCTCCATCCCAGCTCCATGCCCAGCTCCATCCCCGCTCCCTCCCCGCTCCATCCCCGCTCCATCCCCGCTCCATTCCGGATCCATCCCCGCTCCATCCCCGCTCCATCCCCGCTCCATCCCCGCTCCGTTCCCACTCCATCCCCGCTCCATCCCGCTCCATCCCGCTCCATCCCGCTCCATCCCGCCCCAGGCGCAGCCGTTCCGCTCCCCCGGCTCCCCGTTACCTGTGTCGGGTCCCCGGGCTGTCCCCGCGGCTCCCGGGGGATCGGTTCCCCCGGGGGGCAGTCCCGGGGCTGGGCTGGCCCCGCTGCTCTCCTCGCTGCCCGCCCCCAGCCCCGCATCCCCGCCGCTCCCGGCGCGCTCGGGCTCGTCCCAGAGGATGTCCTGGATGAGGAAGGAGGCGCGGGGCCGGGAGGGGCCGGCCCGGGGCTGGGGGGCTGCCCCGGGGGTGCCGCTCATGGCCGGGCTGCGGCCCGAGCTCTGCCGCCGTCCCGGCCGCTCCCCGCCGCTCATCCCCCGCCGCTCCCGCCGCCCGCCCGGCCCGGCCCGGCCCGGCCCCGCATTTATCCGGCCCGAGCCGGCCCTCCCGGGCTGATTGGAGAGCCTGGCACGGTGTACGCCCTTGGCCGTGCCCCGGCTCCGCGTCCCGCCTGCATCTGCGGGGTCACGGCCGCCCTCTGCGCCTCCCTCCCTGCTCCAAACCCCCCGGATCTGAAGGCGAGAACGTGAATTTGGGATCAAATGGGTCCCGACCGGGTGTTTTTGGGAGAGCATCCTTGGCGGATGTTCTGCATCCATCGCTCCAGTCCCAGCTCGGCTTCCCCTCGCTTATGGGAATGATTTGCACCCCTGAGCGCTTCGGGAAATCGCTGTTTTCAGGGGGAAAAGCGGAGAAATTAAAGGGTTGTGTGGTTTTTAAATTTATTTTGAGGGTTTTCCTCAGACGCCTCCGCTCTGATGCACTCCGAGCGTGTCGGAAAACGGGGAAATGTCAAAGACGTTTTTGTCAGCTTTGTAAACTGCTCAAACGAGAGCCTGGGGTGATTTAAAAGCCAGGAAGAGCAGCTCCAGAGGCAAACCTTGGCATGGAAAAGGCTGAAAGTTTAAGCCTGAATCTCAGAATAATCCCTCAATTCATTTAAGAATCCCGAACACCTTTTACAACAAAGTCTTGGTCACCCTAAAGGAGCAAAACCTTCCCAAATCCAAGAAAAACCTCGAGGGGAGTCACCTGCTAGAGCAGATTCTTTCCTGAGGTTCTGATTGATTTGTGGTTGTTCTTCCAGAGTTTCTGTTTGGAAAACAGCCCCAACAGCCTGGGGACCCCCCAGATGTGGGGAACACGGGATTAAAATTCACCTTGTGCCATCCCAAGGCAAACCCATCTCCTGGGGAAGGTCCCTGGGAGCTCTGGTGATGCTCATGAGCAGAATCCCTGGGAATTGCGGGCAATTTGTATTTAAATAAATCTCTAAATATGAATTTATCAGTGACCTCCTCCAGCTCTGCTGTCTCAAACCCCTTTTCCTGCCGAAATATCAGCACTGATCCCTTCTTTAATTCCCAAACCCAGCCCCTTCAGCCGGGCCTGTTTTCTTTTTTACCCTTAAAAAGGGAAACAAAAGATTTCCCTCAAAAAAAAGTTCCCGCGGACTTTGTTGATTTTATAGGAGGTGTTTGGTTACAGCCGGTTGTGCAAACGTGCCCCAAACCCGGCTTTTCCAGCCCTTTTTCCTTCTGCAGCCTCTGGTCTGGGAATTAACACCCCGATCTCACGGAACGCTCGGGAAAGCTCAGGAGCTCCAAAGTTTTCAGGCAGAGAAAGGGAATTTGGGCAGAGTTATGAAGGAATTGGGAATATCCTGGACTCGGAGGGATCAGCGAGTCCAAATCCCGGCCCTGCCCTGGGTGATCCCAACAATCCCACCCGCCCCTGAGGGCTTTGCCAGAGCTCCTCCAGCTCTCACGATTCCCTTTTCCAGGTTTTTTTCCTGAGGGAAGCCATTTCCTTCCTTGGTTTCTGCCTTTATTTGGGGGAGTTTCCTGGGATTTGCCTCAGTTTGTGGCTGGAAAACTCCAAGGAAAACTCGCAGCGTTGTTGGGGATTTCAGGTGAGCCCGGGCACTGCGATCCCAGGGCTGCTCCCAGCGCCAGCAGCGATTCCCAGCGCAGGAAAAAGGGAATTCCCTGGGGAACTGCAGGGAAAGGGAATTCCCCGTGGAATTGCAGGGGAAAGGGAATTCCCTGTGGAACTGCAGGGAAAGGGAATTCCTGTGGAATTGCAGGGGAAATGAATTCCCTGGGGAACTGCAGGGAAAGGGAATTCCCCGTGGAATTGCAGGGGAAAGGGAATTCCTTATGGAACTGCAGGGAAAGGGAATTCCCTGTAGAATTGAAGTGGAAAGGGAATTCCTTGTGGAACTGCAGGGAAAAGGAATTCCCTGTAGAATTGAAGTGGAAAGGGAATTCCTTGTGGAACTGCAGGGAAAAGGAATTCCCTGTGGAAATGAGGGGGAAAGGGAATTCCTTATGGAACTGCAGGGAAAAGGAGCCTGTGGAATTCCCAAACTTGGGCTACAAGGTGATTTTTGCCTGGATTATTAGGATTTGATTTGATTTTTGCTTTTCTTTGGCTTAGGTTTGGATGCTCAGGTGCAAATTGCGGATGGTAAAATTCAAAATACAAACTGAGAAATGACGCAAGAGGTCGAAAACACAATTTCACCAATTTGTTTTTACTTGCAAATAATAATAATAGCAACAATAATATTAATAATAAAGGCAGAAATCGATACCTGTGCAGGGAATTATTAAGAAAAACAAATCAGAAATAAATCTAGAAATTATAGGAACACAAAACATTAAATATTTTCCGTTAATAAAAAAGCAGAGGGATGTGCACGACCCCTGTTTTCCTTATCTTGAGGAAGGAAAAGTCCTGGTGGCATCCTGGGGGAGCAAATATCTTGAGAGCTGGAGGGTCCAGACTCCAAATTATTGTTTAATAATAAATAATTTATAATTGTTGCGTGCTAAAATTCACCGTGGGGCTGTGAGGCAGCGTCCCCTCTCTCTTTCCAGGGATTGTTCCGCTGTCCGGGCTGCCAGAAATCCTTTGGATTGTCGCGCTCGGGGCTCGGCTCTGGAGCAGCGGGAGCTTTCCCGGTGCCTCATCCCCCTCAGCTGCGGCTCCGGGCGCTGATGGCCGCGGGCAGAGCCGCGGGCAGAGCCGCGGGCAGAGCCGCGGGCAGGCGCTGGGCACCGCCGCGGTGGCACCGGGCGGCACCGCGGGGTACCCGCAGCCCGCCCCGGCAGCGCCGCCGCAGCAGGAGCGGGAGGAAAAGGGGCCTGGAGCCCCCCAGGGAGCCGGGAAGGGCCCGCAGCCCCGCGGGCAGGCTCTGCCGTCCCGCACCAGCAGCGGCACCGGCGCCGTGCGCGGCGGCAGCGCCGGGCCGCGCTCCTGCCGCTGCCGCTTGCTCTTGTAGCGCCGGTTCTGGAACCAGATCTTCACCTGCGTGGGGCTGAGCTGCAGCAGCCGCGCCAGCTGCTCCCTCTCGGGCCCCGACAGGTATTTCTGCCGCTGGAAGCGCCGCTCCAGCTCCAGCACCTGAGCCTGCGAGAACAGAACGCGCGGCTTGCGCGGCTGCCGGCGCGCCCGGCCGGGCTCCCCGCGCCGCTCCTCGGCCTCAAGGCTCGGGCCGAGCGGAGATTTCCCTGCGGCAGGGAGGAAAAGAAAGCGAAGTCAGACCCAAATCCAGCTCCGTCCCCAGCGAGAGGGAGGGATCAAACCGGGAGTGGCACCCTTGGGAATAGGATGGGGTAGGGCTGACAGTTCAGAAGGTAAAGGCTGGCACTTGACAAATTTAATACGAATTTTCCCGTGACATTTATTAAGAACTCAATAAAATTTCCCCCCTCCCTCTCTTTTTTCTCTTTTATTTTTTTTCTTTTTTTTCTTTTTTCTTTTTAATTAAGCTGTTACACGAATTCTGGATAAAATCTCCTTTCCCCCTTCCTCTGATGCTTTGGGGCTGCCACCGTTGTCTGAAGGACACAAAGAAAGGCGGACGCACAGCAGGTTTGAGTTTTCCAGACCCCAAATCCCCTTTTCCCACCATCCTGCTGTGGAACCCACACCTCCGGCAGGATCTGCCTCCAGCTCCGGGAAAGGAGAATCCCACCTTCCTCTGAATTTCGGCAAAACAAAAATCCCCGAAGGGGCTGGGAGTGGAGGAGGGAAAATCATTAAATCTGAGAGGAGTTGCGGGTTTGGGGGATTTGTGATTTGCTGGGAATTTGCGGCAGAGGAGCAGCCGGAATCAGGTCCAGCTCGGGCTGGGATACCTCGGCTGGGAATTCGGGAATTCCAGGGGGTTTTGGAAGGCTCTGGATGACGGGACAGAATCCCCCCGGGCTCCCCTCTCTCTCTCTCTCCCCCTCCCAGTCTGCCCAGCTCTGCCCCCGCTGCTTTCCCCGCTCCGCAGCCGCTGCGCGTGAGGGGAGCAGGAGCAGAGGAAATTTTGGGATTTTAGCTGCGGGGAGAAGCGGGACAGCTCCGATCCCGCCGGATCCTCCGCGCTCCCGGGCGTGTCCCGGCTCACGGAGCGCCACACGGGGGGACATCGAAGGCGGAGGGGATGGGTGACTTCGGGCAGGAAAAACCCCTCAAAATCCCAAACCCACCCCCAGCTCCATCCACCCGCGGACGGTCTCGTTCCCCGAGGGCAGCCGGAGCTGCGGGGATGCGCGGGGGATGCGCGGCGGCTCCGGGATGTCCGAAAAATGCCCCCCCAAAAAACCCCAAAACCAAATCGGGGGTAAAAAAAGAGGGAGATAAAGGGGAAAAGGGAGGAAAAAGGGGAACCACGGGGACTGGCGGGTGCGAGGAAGCAGCGCCGGGGAACGAGAGCGGCTCCGCGGGGTCCCCCCGGCGCTTCCTCCGCCCGTCTCCGCGGGTCCCGCGGGCACTTACGCGGCCGCGGCTCGTCCTGCCCGGCGGGGCTGCGGGCGGGGGCGGCGCGGAGCCCCCCGGGCCCCTCCAGGCTGAGGATGTCCCTCACCGAGAAGGGCGTGGGCAGCATCTCCGGGCGCTGCCGGCCCCGCTCCCGGCTCCGGCCCTGCACGAAGCGCCCCCGGCCCGGGGGGCCCCCGGGGGTCGGGGGGAGCGGGGGAAGGAGGGGAAGGAGAGGAAGGAGGGACAGGGCCGGGAGGGCTCTCCCTGCCGCCCGGGGGGCTCCGGCTCCCCATGCGCTGCCCCCGAGCCGCGGGGAAGGAGCAGCCCCTTCCCTGCGTGTTTCCAAAACAAGGGAAGCGGCAAGGAGCGGAGGGAGGGGGGCAGGGGGTGCCGGCTTTGGGCTGAGCCGCAATAAAACAAATCCAGTCCATTTGAGCTCCATTAAGGTCACATTAGCGAGCGGCTCCGCCAGATAAGCGCTGATAAGGAGGCAGACCACCAAGCTCCTGCGGGAGGGGAGGGGACGCTGGACGGGGACGTGGGACAGCTTCGGGCCCCAGTTCCCTCCCAGTTTGTCCCAGTTTGTCCCAGTTTGTCCTCAGCTGAGCGGGCAGAGCCTTCCCAGGGCATGGAGAGGGGTCAGGGTACCCCCATGAATTTGGGCAGCGGGGTGGGGTCCTGGTACCCCGCGGGACAGCGGGGGGGTCCTGGGGAGCCCCTCGGGCTGTGGGGTGATGTTCAGCCTTATCGGAGCCCAGGGAGCGGCGATTTCAATTAAAATTCCTGGCCGGGCTCGGGGCGGGTGTGCGCTGACAGCCCTGACAGGGCCGGGCTGGCCGGGGCCGGGCCGCTGCTCCGCCCGGCCACGGCGGCCCGGGAGGGCAGCTGCAAAAATAAACGGCCCCGAGCCGGCAAGGAAGCGAGGGGGGAAAATAAATACAGTGGCTCGGGGAGAAAAGCGCTCGGAGCCCCCACGGGTGGCTCCGAATTCCTGGGGAACCCCCGGGCTCCTTCCCAGCCCCTGGGGTTGGCTCCGGGCGCTTTCACAGCCACGGGACATCCCTGCTCGTGAGGTCTAATCTGAGCATTTCCCAGCCTTCCTGTGATGCCATGATTCCCATTTTTCAGTGTAAAGTGGGAGTTTTGGCTGGACACATCACGGGAATCACCGAGCTCACCTCCCCAGGCTTTCAGGCTCGGGGCTCAGCATCCCCTCAGCATCTCCTGAATCCCTTTGGTGGGGGCCCTGCTCGGTGATTTGTCTCTTACACTCTTCTCTGAGATGTCCTTTTAAAATCTTTTTCCTTGTTTTTTTTTTCCCTCAGTTTTTGAATATTTTTTTGCTTCTTTTTGCCTGTTTTTGCCGGTTTTTTTGCCTTTTTTAAAAACCATTTTTATGTTATTGCACTCGCATCCCACCCCTCAAATTTCCCAGTCCCACAGAAGAGCGAGGCTGCAGCTCCTTGGCCCAGCCCCGGCTCCTCAGGCTGCATCCTCGTCCCGTGCCAGCCCTCCCCGCAGTTTCCCTGCTCCAAAGGCTCCCCACAAAGCCGGGCCCGCGCCCCCAGCCCGTTCCCGGTGCCCGGGGGATCCCCGGCCCCGTCTGGCCGCCTCGTTTGGGGCTGCGAGCAAACAGGGTCATTTTACACCTCGGCCCGCGGCCGGCGCCAAGGTGAAATGCTTGGCTGGGATCGAGACGAGCAGGAAGGAATTGGGGGAAGTGGCTTTATCCGCCCCCGATGACTCCGGGATTAATGGGCGGGCGGGGTTTGGCGCTCGGGAGCCGCGGACAGACGAGGCACGGGCTGGGCTGAGGGATGGGAAATGGATTTTCACCCAGGATCGGTGTCCCGGGATGGCTTTGGGGCCCTGGGGCCGCCCCCATCCCTCGCTGTGTGCATCCCACAGGTCACATCCAGCCCTCCCTGGCTGGCAGGCGGCCTCTGCAGCTTCCAGAGGCTCGGGTGAGGCTCCTAAATCACCTCACAGGTGCTCCCCGGCCAAAACCTGCTGCTGAGCCTTCCCGGAGCCTTTTGGGGTTTTCCCAGCAGCACCCAGGAGGGATCAGACCCTTCTTAGGGGGCTCAGGCCCTTCCCAAGGGGCTCAGACCATTCCCAAGAACCATCCTGGAGGGATCAGACCCTTCCCAAGGAGCTCAGGCCCTTTCCAGGGGTCTCAGACCCTTCCCAAGTGCCATCCAGGAGGGATCAGAACATTCTCAGGGGTCTCAGGCCCTTCCCAAGTGCCATCCAGAAGGGATCAGACCCTTCTCAGGGGTCTCAGACCCTTCCCAAGTGCCATCCTGGGGGGACCAGACCCTTCTCAGGGGGACCAGACCCTTCCCAGTGGTCTCAGGCTCTTCCCAAGTGCTATTCTGGGCGGATCACACCCTTCTTAAGGAGTTCAGGCCATTCAGGGACCCTTCCCAAGGAGCTCAGACCCTTTCCAGACGGATCACACCCTTCTTAAGGAGTTCAGGCCATTCAGGGACCCTTCCCAAGGAGCTCAGGCCCTTTCCAGGGGTCTCAGGCCCTTCCCAAGTGCCATCCAGGAGGGATCAGAACATTCCCAAGGGGCTCAGGCCCTTCCCAAGTGCCATTTAGGTGGGATCAGACCCTTCTCAGGGGGACCAGACCCTTCCCAGTGGTCTCAGGCCCTTCCCAAGTGCTATTCTGGGGGGATCACAGCCTTCTTAAGGGGTTCAGGCCATTCAGGGACCCTTCCCAAGGGTACCAGACCCTTCCCAAGGGGGCCAGACCCCTCCCAAGTGCCATCCAGGAGGGCTCTGACCCTTCCCAAGGAGCTCAGGCCCTTCCCAGGGGGACCAGACCCTTCCCAAGTGCCATCCAGGAGGGATCAGAACATTCCCAGGGGTCTCAGGCCCTTCCCAGGTGCCATCCTGGGGGGACCAGACCCTTCCCAGGGGGACCAGACTCTTCCCAAGTGCCATCCAGGAGGGAACAGAACATTCCCAGGGGTCTCAGGCCCTTCCCAGGTGCCATCCTGGGGGGACCAGTCCCTTCCCAGGGGGACCAGACCCTTCCCAAGTGCTTCCCAAAGCTCTGGGCAGGGATGCTCCCGGGCATTCCTGGGCAGCAGCCTGGCGGATCCGTCCCCATCGCCGCCCATCCGCTCCCCCGGCGCGGGGTCGGTGCGGTCGCGGCTCCCCAGGGCCATCACCGCTCCTAACCAGGTTAGGTGGGACGGGCAGGAAGCGCTCCGGGGCGGGACGGGAGCGTTGCCATGGCAGCGGCACCATCCCGGTGTCGGATTTCGGGAGATATCGCCGGGATGCATCAGGAGCTGCGGCGGTGGAGGAGCATCCGAAGCCCTGGAAACTCGAACCCGCCTCTCAGGAGAGCCAACACCCCCCCAGCGCTTCGGTGCTGCCGGATTTGGGGTTTTAAGCGGTCAGGAGTGAGGGAATAATAGGAATATTGGCACTGGGAATATTAGGAATTAATGAATAAAGGGAGTAATGAGGTGGTGCACGGGGGATGTGAGCACAGAGCTGTGCATGGGCACCTCCGAGGGGTTTGGAGGTGCTCTGGAACAGCTGAAATCCAACTTGAAAGGGTTTTCTACATCCTCTGCTCCCTCCCAGCTGCTTTCTGTCCTTTTCCATCAGCAAAATGAAAGAAAAAGTGGAGAGGATGGGAGCGAGAAGGAACTGCAGGGGGACGAGGGGAGGAGATTCCCTCCCCAGGGCTTTCTAATAAACATCGCGTGGGAAAAGAAGAAAAACCCCAACATTTCAGAATCCATGGGATAAAAATATTAAACTTTAGTGCATTTTCGTGGAGAACCCTCTCTGTGCCTCTGGGGTGAAGCCACTCCCCTGCCCTGCTGGGTGTCAGGACATGAACCTGACATCTCCTGGGTCCATTTAATCTCTTTTTCCCCCAATTTTTCCATGTTCAGCTCTTCCCCAGTGCTCTCTATCACTGATCTGTTCGACTGGCTGTGATTCCCACTTTTTAACCTATTATCCCTGGATTTTTTAGGACTTGTTGGAATTGGGGGCATGAAGGGGACACAGGGGTTCTCAGCTGCTGCTCCTGCGATTTCTGCTCCCCGCAGAGATTTTTTTGGGATGGACTCAGAGCAGAGCCCTGGCTGGAATCGTGAGCCAGCAGTGCCCTCTGCTTGGCCAGCCGGGATCTGCAGCTTTGCTTCTCCTCCAAGCCCCCAGAACTGAGGGTTGGAAAGGTGGGAAAATCCCCGCTGTGCTCCTCCAGCCCCACATCGGGGCAGTGAGGGCAGCGGCGGCTGCGAGCGGGAATCGCTGATTTTTGGGGCTCTGCTGGGTCACGGGAGATAAAAACCAGCGGGGTTCAAAGCGCTCGGAGTGGGCTCGGAGTTATTTTTGAACGGGTTTTTTTCCGTGAAGCCTCGTGAACAATTCGGGTCGGGGCTGGTGGTGGGAGCGGGGTGAGGGAAGGAAGGGACGAGAGCTGCCGGAGGGGGAGCGGGGATGCTCCGGGGATGCTCCGAGGATGCTCCGGGGATGCTCCGGGGATGCTCCGGGGATACTCCGGGGATGCTCCGGGGATGCTCCGGGAATGCTCCGGGGATACTCCGGGGCTGCTCCGGGGATGCGGGGACACGGAGCCGTCGGTCAGCAGGTGGCACAAGAGGCGTGGGGAAAAAAAAACACCCAAAAACCAAAAAAACCTATCCCCAAAATGAAACAAAACAAAACAAAATAAACACCCCAAAACCCAAACAACAACAAAAAAAAACAAACCCAAAAAAACCCGGGATAAAACCCCTGCAGTGCTCCACCCCGCGGGTGGCAGGCGCGGGTCCCTTCCAGCCTCGCCCGCATCTCCTGGAAATTCCCGGTGGGATAGAAATTTGGAGCATCCCAAAGTCACTGAGGGAAAAGCACAGTTCTCCTCTTCCGAGGGTGGGGTGGGCCTGGGATGGAATGCCCAGTAAATTTCCCCATCCCTGGAAATGTCCCAGGCCAGGCTGGACAGGGCTTGGAGCCACTGGAACATTGGGGGGTGCCCCTGCCCATGGCAGGATGGCACAGGATGGACTCTCGGGTCCCTCCCAAGCCCAACCATTCCAGAATTCCACAATTCTGGGATTTCAAAGCCATGGCAAAAGTTCTGGGATTTGCATCCCGCTCTGGAACTCTGGCCACATCTGTTGGGTTTGGGTTTTGTTTTGCTTTTGGGTTTGGTTTTTTTTTTCTTTTTTTAATGGGAGATTTATTTAGATTGAGGAAAGAGCCCCTGGATTCCGGCCCGAAAATGTAACTGAAAATATCTGGATTAAATAAACTCCTAAACCCAGAATTGCTTCATTTCTGTCTCTCTGATGTCATCCCACGCTGAAATATCAGGCATGGCCCAGCTTAAATCCAACCCCAGAATTCCCAGGGCAGGGGAAATGCCTCAGGAATTGTGGGCTCTTTGAGCCTCTCCCACACTTCAAATCCATCACTGGGCTGGGAGCAACTTCCTGAGTAGGGATGAGAGACCTCGGAGAGTGCAGGAGGTCAGAAAAAAAAGGCAATTAGTGGAATTTAAATAAAAAATATGCAAGAATCCTGGTGAAAGCCACAGCTCCAAGGAAAAGCTGAGATTGGCCAAAGGCTGCCAAGAGGAAGATGCTCTTTAAAACCACAAGGTGGGGACTAGCGCATTTCTAGGGCTGGAAACTGCTTCATGAGGGCCAGAAATGAATCCCAAGGTTACGGATGCACAGAAATTTATGCCAAGATCAGGGATGGCTGGGAGAGCTGGAGCATCTCAAGACTTCCAAACCAGGACTGGGCCTACTGTCATAGGTGGAGGTGGATGACCCAAAAATTGACACTAAACTTAACCCTAACCCTAACCCTAACCCTAACCCTAACCCTAACCCTAACCCTAACCTTAACCCTAACCCTAAAACTTACCCCAACCCTAACCCTAACCCTGAACTTAACCCTAACACTAACCATAAAGCATGACCTTAAACCTAAACCTAACACTAAACCATGAACTTAACACTGACCTTAACCCTGATCCTAAACCCTAATCCTAAACCAAGAACTTAACCTGAAACTGCCCCTAAGCCTAAACCTAACCCTAGTGCATGACCTTAACTGTAAACCTAACCCTCACCCTAGACCATTACCTTAACCCTAACCCTAACCCTGACCCTAACCCTAAACCCTGACCCTAAACCATGACCCTAAGCCTAAGCCTAAACCTGAACCTAATCCATGACCCTAACCCGAACCCTTTTCCCTTTAAATACCCGTGACCACTTTGGTTTTTTAGGACATGAAGATTCCACCTGGAGCAGGAGAGGCTGGAGAGGGAAACAGGGATGCGCAGGAACCAGGGATCATCCTTTGGGGCCACAGTCCAGCTTATCCTGGACTTTCACTCAGCTTAAAAATCAAAATCAAAGAGGGAAAGTAGAAAAAAACTCCATCTGTGTGGAAATAATGCCATCCCCCCGTGAGCTCATACCGGTTTGACTGGTTTTTCCAACTGCTCCGGGAATAAAACTCCTGGGTCTCTCCCAGGTATTTTGTGCCTGAGGTTCTCCAGCCTCTCTGGCTGGATCGGGGGGGTCACAGAAAACCTCTCTGAAGTTCTTTCCAACACCGATTTTGGCTTTTTTGGGGAGGAAAAGCCTTTGGAAATCCAGCTTTGTGCACTGAGGAAGGGCTGGCTCCTTGGAAAAGGTGGAAATTTATTGGGAAAAGTGACTTTTTGGGAGTCTGGAAGCAGGGAATCCTCCCTCCGACCCACCCAGCAACACAGCAGGGATGGAGCTGGAGGATCTGGTCCTGTCCAACCCAACCCATTCCATGGCTCCGTGGTTTTCTGGGATTTCCAGCCCCATCATCCCATAGGCTGGAGGATCTGGAGGATCTGGTCCCGTCCAACCCAACCCAACCCAACCAAACCCAACCCAACCCAACCCATTCCATGGCTCTGTGGTTTTCAGGGATTCCCAACTCCATCATCCCATGGGTTGGAGGATCTGGAGGATCTGGTCCCGTCCAACCCAATCTATTCCATGGCTCCGTGGTTTTCAGAGATTCCCAACCCCATCATCCCATGGGTTGGAAGATCTGGTCCCATCCAACCCAACCCAACCCAACCCAGCCCAACCCAACCCAACCCAATCCATTCCATGGCTCCCTGGTTTTCAGGGATATCCAGCCCCACCATCCTATGGGTTGGAGCTGGAGGATCTGGTCCTTTCCATCCCAGCCCATTCCATGGCTCTGTGGTTTTCTGGGATTCCCAACTCCATCATCCCATGGGTTGAAGGATCTGAAGGATCTGGTCCTTTCCATCCCAACCCATTCCATGGCTCTGTGGTCTTCAGGGATTTCCAGCCCCATCATCCCCTCAGTCCCTCAGACTAATTTTTGGCTGCTGCTTTCTACTGAAATTGATAAAAATACGTCAAAATCTCGGGGACCCGAGAATTCCCTGACCAAATCTCCATCCCTCTGCATTTCTCCTGCCTTTTCCTCTGCTCCTCACCCATCCGAGCTCTCCTAGTGGGAATCACCTCTGGATCTGGGTGATTTGAGCTTTGATTTCTATTTTTAGCAACTCCATTTCTTTTATTTGTTTAACTCCTTCCGTATTCCCGCTCGGAATGGCTGAATCATGGCAGCAAAGACAATATCCTTCATTATTTCTGTGGGAGTTTTTGTTGTCCTTCATTATTTCTGTGGGAGTTTTTGTTGTCTTTCATTTCTGTGGGAGTGTTTTTCCCCTGCTTTTTCTTTTTCTCAGTTCCTGGGAGGCAGGAAGGGAAATCTGGTCCTGAATTTCATTCCCAGCCCTTTGGAAGTGTAGGGGATCCCACTCCTCCTTCCCTCCCCTCCCTCCCAAAGCTGGCAGGAAGGGTGAGGACTGGGAAAATCTCAGTTCGTTTTCCCTTTGTTTCGTCACAAAACTGCAAAAACCCTCACGGACAAGAAAAGAACATCCAGTCAATCCTTTGGATCCTGGCCAAATCAAATTCCCGGGGTTTTTTCCAGGGGAAAATCAAACAGGATTTTAATGCTTCCCGAGCTCTCCGTCACCACCGAGCCCAGATTTCCTTTTCCAGGACTCTTTTCTTCGTCATCAAGGTGAAATTTCCTTTTCCAGGACTTTTGTCTTAGTTAGCAAGCACAAATTTCATTTTCCAAGATGTTTTTCTTTGTCACCAAGCCAAAATGCCCTTTTCCAGGACTCTTCTTCATTATCAAGCAGAGATTTCCTTTTCTAGCACAATTTTCTTCATCACTGAGCCAGAATTTCCTTTCCCAGGATGATTTTCCTCCAGTTTTCCCACCACAGAGCCGAGGTCGATCCAACCCCTCTGCTCCTGCTCTTTTTTTGGGAATTCAGCTCCCTCCATTACCAGCACTGACCTAAATGTGTCCATTTTATTCCCAAGTATTAAAAATTTGTCAAAATTCTGGAATATTGTCAAGATTGGGAGCTCCAGGTAGAAGTGCCCAAGGGAATTTCCAGTGGTGCCAATAATGTCAATAATTATAATAATGGTATATTAGTATTCATTATCATTAATTATTTTATTGTAATACTTATTTTAGTCATCTTAATAATTTGATTAATTAATTTTATTAATAATGATGTAATGATAATAATAATAATAATTATAATGATAATAATGATAATGATTATTATAATGAAAATGTAAATGATTTTACACTACACTAATAGTGCAGAGGGTGGGGTGAGTTCAGCTTTAAGATCGTTCCAATCCAAACCTTTCCATGATTTCAGGGCAAGAAATCTTTTATTAATCCTCTTCTATTTCCAGTATTTATTCTTATACTGTCTTGTGATGAGAAAATGATTTTTTAAACTTCACATCAGCTTTTGGAGCAGAGTCGGAATTAAGATCCCACTTTGCTGATTATTAAATGTATTTTGATGTTGCAGTGGAAATCTGAGATTTCCTGACTGGATAAGATGTACATGGAAATCCAGAATCCAGGTGTTTTATTTCCCTGCAGGGTGTTGCAGCTGCGCTCATTAAAAAGTGCTTCTGCCTTAATTAGTAGGGTGAATAAAATGCAATTACCAAGCCAGGCCATAAAGAGCCAGAGAAGACAACAGGGCTCTGATGCTCAATCCAAGGAAAAAAATTATAAAATTTTATTTTATAAAAATAAAAGAAATTTATCCTGCTGCCATCAACAGCCCAGTAAAGAGTCGGACACCGAAATCCTTTAAATTTGACTTTTTTATTTCATTGCAGAAGAAAATCCAACGTAGGCCTCATTATGTTATGCATCTTTAATTATAAAAATAAGCAAAGAAAATAACTTGCCTCTCTCTCCTCGCTATGATATGTTTCAAATAACCTTTATATGAACACACGGAGCTTTACAAATGTCATGGAAACAATAAATAAGGACATATACCAGATATGCTCACTGTTTATTCCAGTACTCAGCAAAAAACCAAAACCCGAAACCCCCCCAAAACCCCCAAACTCTCTCCCTTTTCCCTTTTCTAGGTCTCTTTAAATTATAAATACAAATAATGCAAATTTATAATGGCACAAAAACGTCTAAAGTGCAAACAAACCACGAGACTCATGCAAACCTTCCCAGAGAAGCCCCTCCCCGCCCCAAGAGAAGAAAATCCTTTTGTGAGACCAAAAAAACGAAGCAGAGATGGACTCCAGGGTGAAATTGCTGGACTTGATCATGGGGGTCATTCCCCACCCTGAGGGATCTCTCACACCCAAATCCAAACATTTCCACCATCCCCAAGGGATGGGAAGAGCCCCCAAATCCCCTCTGCTGAGCAGGGAGAGCTGGGAGTGCCCAGCTGGGGTGAGGGGAGGGATGAGAGATCCCAAATTCCTCCCTGCTCCAGCACAGGGACAAAAGTGGCCTCAAAGCAGCTCAGAAATGGGGAATTGGCTCTTTGGGACACGCATGGCACGGGGAGAGTTCCCTGGGGTACCAGGGGATGATTCCCTGGGCACCACAGCAAACCCCACCAGGGGGAATCACCTCCCCGCTCCTCTTCCCACCCATATTCCGAGACAAAGTTGGAATCATTGCTGCAAAGGGAAATTTCATTACGGCACCCCAAAAAAGATGGGAATTGGGAGGCCCCAAATCTGCTTCAGGCGCCTTTTTGGGGTTGCAGAGAAGTGGGTGGGTGGAGAAGCCACTTTCCATGAGGAATGTCCCTGCCCAGGTGTCCTTGGAAAGCTCCTGGGAGCTTTGGGATCCCACAGTGGGAGCTCTGGAGCACCAGCAGAGCCTCCCAGGTGGGGTTGGACACTGCCCCGAGGCAGGGAAAGACTTTTTGTGACCAATTCCCAAATAAAAGCACGGACTGGATGCACAAACCCTGGTGGAATTCCCTGGCTCCCAACAACCGCGGGCTGGGAAGTCAGGGATGCGCTCCTGGGATCGATTCCTAAATATAATCCCAATTTTAGGGTTGGGATATTCCAGAAGCTGTTGGTTTTCACCTCTCAGAACTTCTTTGTGTCGGCCTCTCAAGCCCTGCCTGATTCAGGAAGCAGCAGCTTTGCATGTCCCTTGCCCTGCACGGCTCCATTTGGAGTATCCCAAAAAAATTACAACTTCCGACCCTCTGATGTCAGCAATAATTTTTTGCTGCTTCCAATTCTCTGCCAGCACTTCTGGGCTACATTTCATGCCACTGCATCTGGTTTCGATATTTTAGCAGCAAGTTCTGGTTTAAAGGCTTTGTGGTTTCCCAAACAACACAAAAAACCCAAAATTATATTGCTTCAGGTTTCCCTAAGAAAAAGAGATCCCTCCTTTAACAGCTCTCCAACACTCTGAGGCAGAGTCCCCCACTCTGCAGGGACTCCAAGGCATGGATTTGGGATTGGCCTGGTGGATCCCACACCACAAAGGGCATTTTTGGGCTCACCGGGGCCTGGCCGTGGTGGGGAGCAGCTTTGGGGTCTCCAGCTCTGCTCCTCTTCCCAGAGCCCGCTGAGGTGGAGGAGGAGGATGGAGGAAAGGCAGCTCCCAGAGCATTCATTGCGCCCTCAGCTTTCCTGCTGGAGCTTGAGGGAATGATGGATTTTCCCTGCCTCTCCCCAGAAATCCTGCCGGGAGTTTTGCCCTGTGAGATTCCCAAAGGATCTGACAATTCCGGAATTCCCAGCAGCTCTGCCCTGGGTCTAAGTGCTTTTCCTGGCAGCCCTGCGGGGACAGCACTGACCAGCCTGAACTTGGGTTTTTATGGATTTTGCCTCCATTTTAGCTGTTCCTGGTCCTGCGATTCCCACCCTAAACCTTTCCCCTCTGCCTTTCTGAAAAGGCCACAGAGTGGAATGCGAACTCCTGACAGAGGTGCTGCTTCCAGGGAAAAGAAAGCAATAATAATAATAATAATAATAATAATAATAATAATAATGAAAGAGCTGACTTACAAAACTCAGTTTAGGCAATAAAGTTATTGTGTTCTGCTCCTTTGAAGCAGACTCTGGTGGAGTTTATGTACAGTACAGACAGATTTTAGCACTATTTATACCACAGTTAGAGCAAGGCCTTTAATACTCTAATCTTAAGACAGGCTTTGTTTCTGTTAGGCTTGGTTTAAAGCTTCAGGCAGTTAAATACAGTACAGAGATGTGAGCTTTGAAACACAACGCACGATTATGGGACCTCCTGACCAGCTCCAGCCGCATGGTAGAACACGTCCCTCTCCTGCTTTTGGGGTTTGTGGGGTGGTTTGAACTCATTTTGCACCGTGGTGCCAGGTCCTGGTGACTAAACCATGCAGGGAGTTTTGTAAATCCCGACTTAAACGTGTTCACAGCGCTCTGCTGGAAGGAAGGATTGGGACCGAGGGTGACACTACAGGACCAGGAAGGTGACATCCATGCTCGTCCATGGCCAGCACAGATTCATGACATGAATTCCACGGATGTTTTTAGGATGTGAGAGAGTTTTTAGTGCATCTTTTGTCACCTGCAGGAGAGGACGGGCTCCTCCCCTCGGTGCCGAATCTCCAGGCCTGGGTGGTGTCAGCACAACAGTTTGGGACAAAACTCAGCCTCCAAACGTTGGGAGTTTGGTGCCTGAAGGCCTGGCCACTGTAGGGATCTACTTGTGACTAAGATTTTTAGGGATAACAGATTTTTTGTGGGGAAGAGAAGAGACAGAGCGGTCTGGCTGGCGGGAAAGCCGCGACACCGAACACAGACCCATGCAGAAGTGCCGTTGGAGAGGAACAGAAAAGATGAACTAACTAAACGAGCCCTAAGGAACTAAACCCAGCTCCTGGGGGTTGAAACACCTACAGTCCACTGGCTTTGGGTGCAGCACTCCTAGAGCAGAGCCCTCAGCTTTGGTCGTGCTCGGCCTGCCCGCCGCGGTCAGGCGCGCTCGGCGGAGCCGCGCTTGGCGTGGGCGGGCGTGGAGCCCTCACCTCGCAGGTTCCTGAGGAGCAGCTTCAGCTTCTGGGGCTCCGAGAGGCGCCGGCGCAGGAGCTCGGCGCGGGGGTGGCCCTGGGCGCAGTGGTCGCTCTGCAGCAGGTGGAACAGGCTGGCCATGTTGGGCCCCAGCTTCTCCATCAGGCTCTCCTTGATGGTGCTCACCGTGTCCTCGTCGCACTCCAGCAGGCTCCTCACCAGCTTGTTGTAATACCTGCAGCAGAGGGAGCTCGTTAGGCCATGGTGTCACTCCGCCAGGTGACAACACCGCGGGAATCAGGATTTTTAACTCAGCCAGAGCGTGTTGGGAATTGATTTCTGATGGTGTTGTGGCTGAATTTTTAAGGTTGGGAAAGGCCTCCCAAGGCCAAGTCCAACCTTGTTGTCACTGCACCCAAACCCCCTGTGTGCTGTGCGCCTGGCACAGGGAAGGAACACCATGGCCAAAATTCTGATTTAATTGCCCTAAAGCAGCAGCTGCCCCAGCTCTGGGAGGTGAGGGGTGAGCACAGGGGGTTTGGAGTGATCCTGGTGGATTGGGAAGGTAAAAACGAGGAGCTGAGAGATTAGGGATGGGTTAAAGGGTGTGATTTACTCTCTGTTAAACAACCGAGTTCCTGGAGCTTTGGGAAGGAAAATAATTGGTGTTGGCAACAACAGATCCTGCCAGGATCCCAGCCTGGCCTGGCAGAGCCATGACTGATCCATCGCTGTGGCACCATTCCCTCTTGTCCCTCTTGTCCCTCTTGTCCCTCTTTCCCTGCACAGTCCTTACAAGGCCCAGAAGGGGGAGAAGCCCAGTCCAAGCCTGGCAGATCCCTGATTCCCTGGGGACAGATCCTTAGGACACACAATCTGTGGTCACTTCCAGCCCACACAGAACCCCAAGCTTCCCCTGCCTCCTCTCCAGCTGCATCTTCCCCTCCCAGCAGCCCTGGGCACAAATTCCTTGTCCAAGGAGCAGCCAGGAGTGGTGGCAGCTCCCTGAGAGAGAGAGAAGCCAGATAAGTTTTCCCAGAGTTGGCCTGGGAAGCTCTGGGGAGCTGGAGATAAACAATGATAGCCAATTATTAAAAACAACCTGCAGGTGTTTTTCTAATATCTGTTTTCTTGTTATTCTCATAAGATTGTTTATAAATTGGTGCTTGTTAATTAGCTGATGGTGTTTTAATTAAAGGACCAATCAGGTCCACCTGCAGTGAACTGGGGTATAAAAAGCAATGGATTCTCAATAAATTGAATTAGCTTTCTGTGGATGCCTGGGAGTCCAGGTCACTTTTTGCATGCTGACAGCCAGGAAGGGGCGCTGCTCTGCATTCCCAGCCCTGCTGAGAATTCCTCCAAGGAATGCTCCTCCTCAGCCCCAGGAGCAGGGCTGGGAGAGCACCTGGCACCTCCCTGTGCCAGGGAACATCTTCCCAGGGAGACAAAGTTGGGAAAAAGGGCAGCAGTCCCACACTGGCTGGGATTTCTGCCTGAAAGGACGTCGGGGAGCTTATTTTAAGCACTTTAAGGTCACGGTGACATTTTTCCACAGGAGCAGAGAGGAGAACAACCTGCAGGTGGAGGAGGGGAAGGAAGAGGGAAATGAGAGTTCCCATTCAAAACCCTTTCCCAACTCTCAGCCGCGGCCTTTGGAGCAGCCAGGGGAGGTCAGGTGAGGTCAGAGTCTGAGCTGCACAAAAGGACCAGGCTCGCTCTGAGCCCGGCTCAGCAGGGCTGGGAGCGAGCTCTGAAGTGGAGACAAGCAAAGCCGAGCCAGCCACACACCCAGCTTAAATCAGGGCCAGACCAGCCCTGAGGATTCCACGCTGGGACACCTTCCCAGAGCTGGGCTGTGAGCAGAGATTTTCCTCCCCTGCTGCTCCTGCCTGAGATGAAATGCAGGAAGATGCAATGACCTTTAAGGACTTCCCAAGTGGCACATTCTGATCCTGTGGGCCAGGGGCTGGGAAAGCAGGATGCTCGGGGAGCCCTCGAGCTGGGAAATCCTGCTGCTTTTGTTCCTCAACGTGTCACAATATCCTCTGCCTCGGGCTGGGGGAGGACATCCCTGTGCCTCGGGAGAGGCTCCGGGGCTTGGTCCTCTCAGAGGAGCACGGCCAGCGCTGTCCAATGTCCCCATGTCCCCCTCCGAGGGCTGCTGAGCTCCACAATCCACCAGTTTCACCTGAGCCTCCACAGAGCTGCCTGCTCCTCTCCCAGGCCTCCAGAAAACCCCTTTCGAAGGCTCCAATTTCCCCCACAAATTTGCCTGGGGGAAAGACACGCAGGTTCCATTTTTACTCCACCCCAGTATCATTTTGCCTTCCCGATTTTGCCTTTTTCTGGCTAGACAAGAAAGAATATCTCCATCTACAAGAGAGTTTTCCGTAATAGGAAATGGATCTCCACGATCCTTGTGGATCCCTTGTGGGTCCCTTCCAGCTCTAGATATTCTGGGATTCTCTGAATCAATTTATGCTGGTTGATGAAACATAAAATGTATTTATCACCTGCACACCTGTCCTGGGACAGGTCTGGAGGTTTGGGATGCTCCTGGATCCAGCCAAGGCCACCCCAGAGGAGCTGAAGCCTTGGCCATGGCCAGGCCCAGACCCAGTCCTCTGGTTGCACTCCAGTCCCAGAGTTATTTACTCCAACCGCTCCAGAAGGTCCCTTTTATCCCAGTCACAAGACTCAGCACTGATTGTTCCAGGACTGGGAGCAAGAAATCCCTGCCCCTGCAGCGTGACTGCGCAGACTGCAGCAGCCCTGAAGCCTCCCTGTGTCCCCTGTCCTTGGAGGACGGGGACAGGGCAGCCCTGGCAGGGAAGGTGCCAGGAGCAGCGTGACCACCCCGTCCCTGCAGGGGCAGGAGACCAGGAGACAGCCCCGGGCTGTGCCCAGGGATGAGGAACACAGGGCTGGCACAGGGGGGTTGTGCAGGGTCAGGTGTGCTGGCTCCTTTCCTTTGTCCTGGGCTTTGCAGCAGTGTGTGACCCGGAGGACAAGGATTCATTTCCCAGGTGCCATGAGCCCCAGGAAGGGCATGGCTGCAGTCTGGAGAAGGGAATGGTGGCAATGCATGGAGAAGGCCAGGCTGGACAGGGCTTGGAGCAATCCGGGACAGGGGAAAGCGTTCCTGTCCTTGGGATGAGAGGGGGTGTAAGGTCCCTCCCCACCCAAACCATCCCACAAGTCTCTGAGCAGCTCTGAAATGCTCAATGTGCCAGACATGCCAAATTAATCAACCTGTTTGGGATCCTTGACCATTACAGTGCACTGAAACAACAAAAATTAACATTTAAACAAACTCCAGGCTTTGGAGTAAGGATAATTTTATGACTCTCCTCTGGAAATGCTTTTAAATGTATTTCCCAAAAGGAGAAATAAATATATTTCCCAAAAAGGGAAATAAATGTATTTGCCCAGAAATGGGAATATGTGTATTTCCCAAAATGGAAAACAGGTGTGTTTTCCTAAAAAGGGAAAGAAATGGTTTTGCCCAGAGAGGGAAATAAATGTATTTCCCAAAAAGGGAAATAAATGTATTTTCCCAAAAAGGGAATATGTATCTTTCCCAAAATGGAAAACAAGTGTGTTTTCCCAAAAAGGGAAATAAAGTGGTTGCCCAGAAAGGGAAATATATGTATTTCCCAAAATGAAAAACAAGTATATTTTCCCAAAAAGGGAAATAAATTAATTTCCCCAGAAAGGGAAATAACTGTATTTCCCAAAAAGAGCAGGGAGAATGCTGCTGAAGCTGGGCAGGGTCTGAGGAGGCCGCGAGCTTTCCTGGGCTGAGATGTTCCAGGAGCTGCAGGCGTTCCTCACCTCGTCCCCCTCCTTCCCGCCTCCGCCGTCCCCCTCCCGTGTCCCAGAGGGCCCCGTACCGGTTGGAGAAGTGGTTTGGGAGCTGCACCACCTCGGTGATGGCCTCGGGGTTGCGGCGGGCGATGCCGCACATGTCCAGCTTGCTGTAGCACTCCTCCTGCACCTCGGAGATCATCCTCTGGAAGGTGGAGCACCTGCGGATGGCCAGGAACACCTTGGACGTCACCCCGTTGGCGATGCACTTCAGGCTCTCCTTCACGAAGGCTTTTCCCTGCAAACGGGAGGAAAAGCTCCTTCAGCTGAACTCCAGGGAATCCAAAGGAAGGAATGGTATTTGCAGGGCCCCCACACGAAGGAAGGAATAATGAATCTGACTCCGTGTTCTCAGAAGGCTGATTTCTTATTTTATGATACTATATTATATTAAAGAATACTAAACTATACTAAAGAATACAGAAAGGTTACTTAGAGAATGCTAAAAAGATAATAATGAAACTCGTGACTCTCTCCAGAGTCTGACACAGCTTGGCCCTGACTGGCCAAAGAGTGAAAACACTCACACCAAACCCATGAAACAATCACCTGTGGGTAAACAATCCCCAACCACATTCCAAAGGAGCAAAACACGGGAGAAGCAAATGAGATAAAATTGTTTTCCTTTTTCTCTGAGGCTTCTCAGCTTCCCAGGAGAAAAATCCTCAGTGAAGGGATTTTTTAGAAAATATGAATGTGACAGAGTAGTGTTATGGATATCCACCAGGCCTGGTGTGCTAATTACCCTCCTGCAATTACAAACAGGCAGGGAATGGGACTTGAATGCTCCCAGTTACTGCAGAGCTGTCAGTCTCAGCAGCTGGGATGCTCTGAACTCCCATTCCCAAAGGATTTAGGCAGTGGCAATCTTCAGCCTGGAAGTGCCAGGACCAGAGATGGAGCAACTCTGCCCCACAGACTGATTTAACATCAATTTAATGCCAGCAGTTTAACACTTCTGGTTCAGACCCCAAGAGCCTTTACCAGATTTTAAATCTGTCCTTGGGAGGAGCACGGGGAGCAAGGGGCTGTGTGAATTTTGGGAGGAAAGCACAGAGGGGAAGGGATTTTGGCAGAGCACAGCCCTCCAATATTATCCCGTTTATTCTCCCCGCAGCCCCAGTCTGGCCGTGCATTCCCAGACCCAAACACTTCCAAGTCAAAGCCCAGCCCTGTGCCAGGTCACACAGTCAGGAGATTTATTTTGTTAGAAGAACATTTATATTTCCTCCTGGAGAGGAAACCTTGCTCTCCACCCCACAGAACCCTCCGTGCCAAGTCCTCACACGGAGCAGGGAGCTGGTGGAAAAAGAGCCCTGGAGGATGCGCTCGGAGCCAAAAATGGGGGCTGAGAGGAGCAGCAGGAAGAGCTGCAGGGAGGGGAGGGTTAATCCTGCCCAAAGCACAGCTTAAATTAAGTCAGGCATTGAGCAGAACACTCAGCACGTGCTTTAGAACCCGCAGGACTTGTCAGGGGCATGAAAAGGCGGCTCCCATTTATTCGCGGCCGGGTTTTATTTTCGGCCGGGTTTTATTCTTGGCTGGGTTTGTTTCTGGCCGGGTTTGATTCACTCTGGGCCACGTTTGATTCCCGGCTGGGTTTGTTCCCGTGCCCCTCGTGCCCGGGCCGTACCTGAGTGTCGAATTTAGCCGCGCTGTAGAGGAAGGACTTGCAGATGTCGTACATCCCGTCCGTGTCGCACGTGGAGTTCTCCAGGCAGGCGAAGGCGCCGCAGCCCACCTGGAGGGCACTGTTCAGGCACCGAACCACCTCGGCTGTGGGACAGACACACGGCAACGTCAGCACACGGAGAGAGAGCCCAGCTCACAGCCAAATCCTGCCTGGCACCGCGGCGAGGCTCAGACCCTCTCTGATGCCCCAAAATCTGCCTGGGAGAGCTGCTCCTGGAGAAGAGAAGGCTCCAGGGAGACCCCAGAGCCCCTTCTGGTGCAGAAAAGCAGATTATGAAAAAGTGGGAGTGCAGCTTTTCATATGCACACTGCTAGAACAGCTGGGGTTGGTTTTAAGCTAAAAGATGAGAGATTTAGGTCAGATACTGGGGAGAAAATCCTTACTTGGAGGGCAGTGAGACCCTGGTACAGGGTGCCCTGAGGGACTGGGGATTCCTCATCCCTGGAAGTGTCCCAGGCCGGGTTGGAGCACCCTGGGGTTGTGGAAGGTGTCCCTGCCCATGGCAGGGGATAGGATGAGCTTTAAGGTCCCTTTCCAACCCAAACCATTCCAGGATTCCATAGTTCTGTAATTCCATGATTCTACAATTCCATGACTCTGTAATTCCATTATTCTACAATTCCAGAATTCTACAATTCTCTGAAGACACAATCAGCACCCCAAGGAACAGAAATTCCAGCTACCAAACCCCTCAAGGGTCACACACGGATTAAAATGTGCAGCACCTCACGGTCCTTGCTGAGATGGGACCCAAGTGTCCATCCCAGCCCAATTCTCTCTTCAGGCATTTACATCTTTATCCCAACTCCCTCTAGAGAAGGAGCAGGGATGAGGATGGGCCCGTGGAAAGCTCTGGGGGCTGAGGTCTCTTCCTTAGGGAGCAGCCTTGGGTCACAAAACCGCTGGAAAATGAGATGGAAGTGTTGGCAAATGCCAACAAGTTGGCAGGAAATGGCTTATTGGGAGGTATTTGTGCTTTTCTAAAATGCCTGAATTACCTAGAAAGAAGATTTTAGCTCGAGAGTCAATTCTCAGCACCCAAAAGGACTCGATCCAGCAAAAAAACCTGCCCTGGGAGCTGTCAGGTGTAGCCAAAAAAGGTCATTTTTGCTGGAGACTCGGGAGGGGAAGGGAAATTTGGGCAGAGAAAGTTCAGGTAATGCAGCTGCGGGGATAATTAAACCCCGGAGGCAGCGGCGCGGCTGAGCACGAGGGTATCCATGTCATCCCGGCTTTCTCAGAGCAGATCCAGTGCATTTTAACAATGAATCAGCAGAATTGCCACATGATTGCCCTGAAATTAGCCGGGATTAACCTTTCCGGGCGAGCCGAACATCTGTCCCCTCCCGCGCCCGGGCAAGGCACGTTCACTGCCTTTGCAGCTCATGTTACCAGACATTCTTGGGGAAGAAATGCGAAGCCAGGGTCCCCCACAGCCCTGAGGTGTGGGAAAAGTGAGTTTTTACCGGGAGAGAGCGCACCTTATTAAATCTAAGTTGCATCCTAAAGAGAATCTTTATAACCGGGATTTTTCCCGAAAAAAAAAAAAAAGAAGAAATAATATAAAAAATTTTCCAATTAACCCCCGGTCGTTCCGCGCTCTTGCTGACGTGCCTGAAGGGAGGAATATTTGGTAATTCATCCCCTCCCCGGTTCATAACCTCCCGCAGCACGAGCCAGCCCCATAATTAGCTTTCCACAGGTTCCAATTAGAACTTCGCTCGCAGCAGACTCCGGGTGCGCGGAGCTCGGGCTGTTTTAGGCACGGTGCGAGAGGGAGACCCCACGTTTCTATAGCAACCAAATACAAAAGCAAATGGAGCAAACACCCCGCTCCAACGCCGCAGAGCCTTGCGGATCTAAAATAAGGCAGCTGTTAATGAGCTCCGAAGCGGAGCGTTAATATCTTTGCAGCACAGTAGAAGGCGGATTTTTAATTCCCATTGTTCCAGACAATGTCTCCAAGTTATCTAAGCAGCAAAGTCCGCACATCCAGGGCTCACTCGCCAAAGCAAAATTATTATTTTTTTTTTCTCCATTGTGGAAGCAAGTTTGGAAAATGTCACCAATGTATTTTTACAGTGGCAGCTGCCCGATAGCGATCAGTTGGGGACAATCGCAGCGAGCAGGGGACAGTTTCTAGGTTACTGCATTCTTCCAAGTGGCGGCTGCCCCTCTTTGAACAGACAGATGTTCCCAGAACAATGGGGCAGTCCCAGCGCCGCGGATTTCATCAACTTCCTAAAAAGCAAGGGTTTAACACCAGAGCAGCGCTGCGTCGGGGAAGGGAGAGGGAAACATGCAAGCAGGGAAATCAAAATGATGAAAAGTGCACGGAACTCCTTGGGGAGCTGCGGGAGGAGGGGAGAGCCTGGATCGCATCCTCGCAGCGCTTCCCTGCCCCGGCTCCTACAGGAGATTCCTGCTCCAGCTCTGCACCAGCAGCTCCTGCCAGCCCTGCAAGGAACATTTGTGCTGCCAGCCGGTAAGTTTGTAAGGGAAAAAAAAAATAAAAGGAAAAAAATGAAAAAGAAGAAGAAAAATCAGCAGCAGAGAAATCTGAGACAGTTTAAGGCACCGGGGCTGCGGCTCCGAGCCCTGCTCGCTGGCGTTACCTGAGTTCTGGGCTGCCACCCGCGCTTTCCTGGGGCTCACAGAGTCATTCTGCTCAGCTTCGTAGGATGCGGATGCACTGATCAGCAGCAGCAGGAGAAAACCAGACTTTAGGAGCATTCTTTGACAAGTTTCCGCTAAGTGTGGGGTTGGGTAGGGTTTCTTTTTTTTTTTTTTTTTTTTTTGGGTGGTTTATTTTTTTTTTTTTTTTTTTTTGGATGTGTGCGCCTCTCCTCTTCCACTCCGGCTTGAGCAAAGACGTGGAGCTGGATACGCGCTCGCAGGAGGGAGGGAAGGAAGGAAGGAGGGAGGGAGGATCCTGGCGAGCCCGGGATGAGCGCAGGGATGTGCGGAGGATCCGGGTGGCCCCTCTGGCTGCTGCTCGCTGGGGGACCGGGAGCTGCGAGGGTTTTATAGCCGCCCTTATCGGTCCCCCCCGGGCTGCGGAGCCAATCGGTGGCGCTGGGCAGAGCCAGGGGAGGACTGGACTCATTCAAGCCCCGCAAAACTGCAACTTCACAGGAAGAATATTTTCCAGCCCATTAAAAGTACCTGCCAAAGAACAATGAGCGAAAAGTTCATCCTTGGAGGAGCGGTGGGAAAGGGAGGGGATGGGGGAGGCGGGGAGGGTTCCTATGGATCGTGGAGCTCGAGGAAATAACAGCGCCATCCTAAAGCGCCCCCACCCCAAAAGAAAATCACCTGCCCTGTAGGGAAAGCTGCTCCCATCCGTCCGGGAGCGACCCCGGGCTGGGGGCGGCTGGGGAGGGGGAAGGGGCGGCTTTGAGGGCTCGGGGATGGGGGTGGGGAGGGGCTGGCAGGGATCCCTCGCTCCTGCCCCGGCTCTCACCTTTCCCTGCGCTGCCTCCCGCCCCAGCACGTGCGAGCCCCGCGCTCGCCCCTGCGCTCACGTAGGCACATGCAAATAAATCCCTCCCTGCCCCAGACCTGCCTGCCGCTCCTCAGCTCCCCCACCTGCGCCATTCCCCCCGGAAAATCACCTCGCCAAACCCCTTCTTGCGCCCCAAACCCCAATTTTTATGGGCTTTTTTCGCGGTTTTCGTCGCCCCCCTCCTCCCCCCTCCCTGCTCCAAACTCAATCCTGTTTTTCAGATTTCATAACGGGAGGAGGCACCCTAATGCCTGATTCAATCTCGGTTCTAATGGGCACGTAATGAGGCTTAACACGCTGCAGGATTGATTATCCCCGATCCCAGAGACAATTTAAAGCTCTGCGTGTTTCAGGGATGAAAGTGCAGCAGGGCTCTTAAACCTTAGAGCCGAAAGGAAATTGGGAAAGGTGAGTGCAAAAAGATTTCCAGATAAAAAGTTACAAGTTCCTGCAGCTTAGAATAAACCCAAGGATTTAGAGATCGGCTCTGGCTGATCTGAGCTGAGATTAATTGGATCATGAGCACGTTTGGGGCTCACTCAGCCACCCCCAGGACCTTTTCTGGGAGGGGAAGGACTCTGAACTGTGTGGTGCCAGGCAAGGAAATCCAGCTTGGATAGACCCATGGATCCATCCAGGTACAGATTCCCATTTGACGAGCCAATCCCACCAATCCCATTCAATGGAGGTGCAAAATTCTCCATTTTGGGGCAGTTATTCGGGTTTATGGCAGCTGAATTGAAAATAAGGAAGAATTTAAAGAGAAGCAGGAGGAGGCTCTTTCCGTGGGGCTCCAGAAGCTGTGCCCGCTGCTTTACCCCATCCCTGCCTTTTTGTCCCTGGGAAAACGGGATCCCTCTGGCTCCTGCCCATCCCTGTCTCCCAGCTCTCCAGGAAGGCTCTGCCAGCCCAGCTCGGGCAGCGCTGCCCCATTCCCGGTGCTGTCGGCTCCCTTTGGAACGGGAACAGCGGCGAGGCTGTGCTGCTGCCCGGGGGTCACAGGAACAGCTGTGCCAGATGTTCCGAGCACGCGCCAAAAGCCCTGAAACAGGAGGGTTTCGGGTTTCGGCTCCGGTTTGGGACACCGAGCCAAATTCATTAAATAAAGAAAAAAAAAATATCAAGAAAAAGAAGCAGCAGCCCCACAAAGCGTTGTGGTTTCTCCACTTCAGAGCCCCGGTCCAGTTTGGAAGCGAGAATAATCCCAGAGGGATTGATCCTGATTAAATCAAAAGTAACTCTGGCAGCCACTTCAACGGGGCTGACTCACAGTGGGACTTATCCTTAAGAAGTCTGAGCAAATCCTGTTCAGATTTATGTTTTGTTTTTGTTTTTTGGTTTTTTTTTACCCAGATTTCAATAAAATCTCAAAGCTCCTGAACATCCACTCCTCTCACCACCATCCCCAGGCTCTCTTTCATTTTCCACACGATTGGGTTGCAAACTCCCAGCTCGATCCCTCCACCCCAAGGTGAACATCCCCACGTGGCTTTTTTGGGCTTTTTTTGCTTTTTGAGGCTGCAGACCCTGCAGGTTGGCCTGGCCCTCCACAGGAGCACGTCTGCATCCAGGGGAGCCCAAGTGTGGGGAGGAATGAAGCCAAGAGGACCCTGAGATTATTCCAGCACATCTTCTGTCCTTTCTCCTACTATTTTCCCAGGGATTTGCTCCTTTAGGGCCGTGTTTGATATTTGTACCTGCTGCCTGTTTAATTACCAGCAGCAGGAGCAGAAGGGAGTGAGGCTCAGCTTGGTGTCACGGGCATGGTGACCCCGTGAGCGGTGCTGGATCAGGACACGAACATTAAAACACCAGGGGACAAATAGTAAAACACAAATATTAAAATCCCACACTATGGAGGCTGCAAAAAGACCCTGTGGAGGCAGAACTTTGATTATTTTGCTTTAAAAAGTGGGGGGATGATTTCAGGAGTGAGGGACCCGCACTGAGCCACTGCCAAATTTGGCAGGGGACTTGTAAAAGCAAATTTCCACCTAAGACCTCGGAGTCCTGCACTACCAGAGCACATTTGCATTTTTTATTTTGCATATTGAAGGCAACAAGGGCTCAAAATTCCCTGGAAACTTCCACTCTGCCCTCGCTGTGGGATTTCCGAGGAGTTTGGTGGCAGAGGAGCTTGGCTTCAATCCTGTACCAGGTTTTGAAGGAAAAAAGGAACAGCCAGCGATGGAACCACTGCCCCAAAATCAGTGGTTGGCTCATTCAAGGGCCATGCTCTTCAAATTGTTCTTAGAAAGTTTCAGGATACAAGAACACCCATTATGGGATAAGGTTTTCCCTAAAAACCTTCCTTCCTCCCTATCTCAGGTGACAGCTGCTTTGCAGCCTAGGGATCTCATTAAAAAAACCAAAAACCAAAATAAAAAGTTTCCCTATTTGTTCCTAAGAGCTTGGCACAACCCGCTGGAAGATTTTCCCCGTGGCTTCCCTTCGAGGTGAAACGCTGGAGGGTTTCTTTTCCTGGCTGATGCGTGGAAAGAGAAAAAAGAAAGGCACTGTTAGCCCTGGGAGAATCACCCCCTTCTTTCCATTCCCATTCAGCAGACCCTATTAAATTTCACAGCCCGGCCTTTTGTGCCACTGTTCCTCTATTCCCAAGGTGTTAAGATTTTTATCCAACCTCCTTAAAAAAAAAAAAAAAAAAAAAAAAAAAAAAAAAAAAAAAAAAAAATCGAGGGGGACTAGAAAAGAAACGAGGAAAAAGAGAAAGGGGGACATAAAGTCAGTGACCCCCCCTCCCCCGGCTTTCTGCTCAGCTGCTCCCGGCTGGGAACCGCTGCGAGGGCGGCCCCCCTTCCCTCCCATTGTGTAACTGGATCCCTTCCCACCTTCATCCCCCTTTTCCCAGCCGGGACCCCTCCGCTCCCCGCGCTCCGGAGGGACGTGAGCAACTGCACCGCGCCGGGAGCGAGAGCGCTGCGCTGCGCGCCCGGCACGTCCTGCCCGCGCCCGCCCTGCTCCTTCCCAACAAACCAGCGCTCCCTAATCCTTCCCTTCCCAACAAATCAGCCTTCCCTGCTCCTTCCCAATAAACCAGTGTGCCCTGATCCTTCCCTTCCCAACAAACCAGCATTCTCTGATCCTTCCCAAGAACCAGCATTCCCTGATCCTCTGGATGCTGCTGCGTTCTCAGGAGCTCCCGGCAGGATGGAGCCTGGCTGCAGCATTCCCTTCCCTTCCCTTCCCTTCCCTTCCCTTCCCTTCCCTTCCCTTCCCTTCCCTTCCCTTCCCAGACCCTCGCTGGGGACACCGCGAGGATCCGGGCTGTCACGGGGTGCTTCTGCCGGGAGGATCACCCCATTCCACCCCTTTCCACCCGCCCGGGTTGCTCCAAGTCCCCTCCAGGCTTCCAAGGGATGGGGAATCCACAACTCCTCCGGGCTGGCGTGAAGCGGGACCCGTGTCCAGCGGGGCGAGCCCATTCCTGCTCGTTGTGATTTTGAGGTGTTCCCAGTCCCCCGGGAAGCACTCCAGGATTTTCAGGGATCAAACCCGGCTGTGTGGCGGCCTTGGCCCCCGGCCAGCCGCCCTCGCAGCCCGCCGGACCAGCTCCCCGGCAGGTGCACATTAAGCCCGACCGCAGGATTCCATCCCCTCCTCCCTCCCCGCCATGGCTCCGGCGCGTCCCCGCACGCTGCCGGGATGCGATTCCCCATCCCGGGGCTGGGAGCCGGCAGCAGCTGCAATTACCCCGGCAGGAGAACAGCAAAGTAAGGGAGAGGCCGAGCAGAACCTTTTAATTTGCTTAGCCCAGGTGAACAACCCCGGCTGCGCCGGGGCAGGGGTGTCAGAACTTGTTCCAAAAGGCAGGATGCAATTTTGGAGTTACCTGGGAGTCTGCCCCGACAGAGCCACTTGGATCTGGCTACAGGCTCCATAAACCTGGCAAAAAAACCGCTGCAAATCTGATTATTACAGGGATTTAATATCTCAGCTTTGTGTGCAGGAAGTCAGGCTGGGTTTGGCTGTGTCACAGAGAAACTGTGATTGTTTAATGCCCGATATAAGGGGGCAATTATTGACAGGACGAGGGGAAACAGCCTCGGGGTCTGCCAGAGGAGGGTCAGGCTGGACATCAGCGGGAATTTCCTCCTGGAAAGGGTTGTTAAATATAGGAAAGAGGTGCCCAGGGAAGTTTGGAGTCCCCATCCCTGGAGGTGTCCAACTGCACTCAGAGTTCTGGGCTGGGGCAGTCACAGCTTGGACTCATGATCCTGGAGGGCTTTTCCAACTTTAATGATCCTGTGAACTTTTGTCTTCCACTGAGCTTGAACTGGCAACATAAATGAAGGCAAAGTAAGGGATTTCTCATACTATCGTGATTGATTTGCATTGCACAATTTGATTTTTTTAAATAACAGCAATCCCATATTTCAGTCTCTTTCTGCTGGGCTTGTTCTGCATCTTGTAGCTGCAGTGTCTGATGAAAAGTGATTGCTAATAATAACCTGGAATTACTCGTAATCCCGGGCTGGAAATCCCACTGCCTGGTGTGATGGGACTTTGATTCAAACCAAATGTGCCTCGTGGATGAGACACATCGAGAACTCAGCTCAGAACTTCCAGCACTCAGCTCCGGCCACGCCAGGCACCGAAAATGCTCTGAAAAGGGGAAGAGTCCTGCGAAGGCAC